AAGGAAGCCTGCCAACATCCACACAAGTGTGGAAGATCCTCGCCGCACGCCAAGAACCTTGATTGCGGCCTTGGGAGACTACGCAGAGGACCAGCTAAGCCGTGCCTGGACTCCTGTCCCACCGTGATATAACAACCGGTGGATAGGAAAAGTGATATAACCGTGATAGAGGAACCCGTGATACAACAAAGGAACCCTGATATCACAAACAGGTATTGTTTTGAGCTGCTAAACTTGTGATAACCAGAAAACTCACACACCCAGGGCAGTCAGAGGTAGGGGTCCCCTCTAGGAAGTGAGCTCTCCATAGGCGGTAAGTGGGAGTGAGCCAAGAAGACAGCTGGGGACAAGTGTTCCAGGCAGAGGGAGTGGCCAGTGCGGCTGAACGCAGGCCACAGCAGGCCTGCTGCTTCTGTGGAACTCAAACAGGTGGCGGGGGTGGGGGGCACGAGTGAGGGAGGGGGTGCAGAGGGGAGCGAGGAGGGCTGGGGTGAGTGATGGGGGCAGGAGAGGAAGGGAGGGAGTGCGGAGGTCAGTGGGGCGAGACTGGGTGGGCGGCCGGCGTAACGGGGCGTGTGTTGCGACCCGAGTGAGTAGGAGGAGCTCGCTCGGGGGCGGGGTCACCCGTGGCGCACCACCGAGAGGCTGGGGCCTCGCCGCCTAGAACGGCACCGGAAACGGCCAGCCTGGGAGCCGGCTCTTCCTGCGGGTACCGAGGGTGGGCTAGGGCGCACCACCGAGAGGCCCGCGACTTCGCTTCCTAGAACGGCGCCAGAAAGGGCGGGGCCAGCGGCGGGCCTTTCGGACCGGCGCAGAGGCGCAGCTGTTCGAAAGACAAGATTCCCCCGTGCTCTTCGCCAGGCAGCTGGGGTGCGGCTGGCCTTGATAAGGACGCGTCCATCCCGGCCCAGGGACCCTGCGGGGAGCGCACCCGCCCCGACCTCCATACGGGAACTCGCTGGGTCCCTCTGGCGTCCTGTGGACCCCCCACCCAGGGCATCGGCCACCGCTCTCTCGGCTCCCTGGTTCCGCGCGGACGAGGGCGAGGTCCGCGAGGACCTGCTCCGTGCGAATCGAGGTGAAGGAGACCTCGGCCCTGCACCCGCGGCTGGCGAGGCTGTCAGGGCCCCTCTTCTCGGCTTCGACACTGCTGCGGGCCCTCTGACAGGCCCAGGGCCTACAGACTGCTTGGGTGCATGTTTGCCCTTGGACCTCAAACCCCCTAGTAATCCCATCTCTCACTGAGACCCTGGCTTCTAAGGGCGAGTGAGGTTACCAGGGAGTCCTGCTGCAGCTAGATACCCAAAATTTCATGTTCCAGGCGGTCTGGCCCAGACAGTGAAGGAGCTACACTGGAGTGACAGAGCACGTACCTTTAGGTCAGGGCTGTGTTCTGCTCTGGCAAGGTAGATTGCGTTTCCTGCGTGGCTGTAGCAGTTACCAGGGCTACAGATCTGTGAAATGAGAAGACCAAAACAATGACCTCAGATCGGTTCCACTTCTAACAATTATTGCTTGGTGTGCACAGGGCTTAGAGAAGTGAATATGTCCAGTCTCTGCCATTAAGCACCTGCTTGAGTTAGGCAGACAGGATGATTATCTAGAATATTTTGGGAGCAGCAGTGTGTACAGTCTCCAGCCAAGTAACTAGGGATTCCGGGATGAAAAAAACAGGATCCTTGCCCTCAGCTCATCAGGAGACTGCACATCAGTGACAAGCCACAGGTAGAATGACAAGAGTCCTTGTGGGAGAACAGTCCTTGGAGCCCAGCCAGCAGATGCCAGGCGCAGTGGGTCCAAGGACCACTCCTCTCCATCGAGTGCGTCAGCATAGAGCCAGGATGAGTTTACATCTGCCCTGGAGAGCCATGGGCTAGAGGGTTGATGGCACTTTCCTGTTGGTCTTGGTTTTCACCTGTTTCCTACTAAAACTAGACCTCAACTCAAACTGCAGCCTGGCTGACTGGGGCTCTGATCCTCTGCCCTAGTTCTACTTGCCTCCCCAGCAGAGATGCCCCCATATTTGTATGCTTCCCTCAGCCTAGATAACCTGCCATCCTCAGTTCTGGCTCCCACCTAATGCTGAGAACAGCCTTTTCCCAGAAGCTGCATCCAAGAGAGCCTTCAGAGAGTGACATTGGCCTGAATCTGAGTCAAGTGTATGTACACATTTTCATTTAGAAGAAACCAGACTCTCAAATTCTTGTCAAGATGGGAAAACTGTCCAGTCATTTTCTGTGTTGCCTCTGTGCACGGGAGACTGGATGAAGACTTAGTATCCGCTTTGACTTAAAGGAAGTGCAAAGAATTTATCCCTCAAAACATACTTCACTTGGAATGTTACCATCTAGAGCACCACATTTTGGGGTGAGACAGCCTGGCAGAATATGAACCTCCCGGGAGATCAGGTGACCACACAGGCCATGGGAAGTCTCTCAAGGATGACTTGAGGACTCAGAACAGGATCTGCTTTCTTGGGAAAGTGCTTTCTCCTATCTTGTGAAGATTTCTTTTGCCTGTGGTTAAAGAGCCTGAAGTTTGTCAAGCTTTATCCTAGAAGTCCATTTGTTAGCACTGAGGGAAGAGGTAGGTTAAGGAAGCTCAGAAATAATACAGAAAAGGAATAGGTGAAGCTTCTTAATCATGCTGGTATTGCTTCTACAGGTAACTGGGCCTGACCTGTCACTGGGACAGACTGATTCCTATTTGAATTTGTGGTGATATTGGAATGCTTTTAGATGGGATTAGGAACAGAGGCTGTCAAATTTTTTTAGACAATGCACTTAAGAGCCTAGTTGATGGCTCCCTGGAGCTTTGGCCCTCAGTGGACAGTCAGCTCCAGTTAAGGCCACAAGGAGAATGAGAGCCTGGTAAGGAAACAGGGCATGGGGTCAGGGAGGCTTCTCTGAGAAGAACCCTCAGAACAGAGCTCTGAGTGAGTGAGGGGCCAGCACCAGTTCTTAGGACCTATTTGTGGGCAGCCAGGTGCTGAGGCAGGAAGGACTTGGAATGTGTGGTGAACCTAAGGGTGCTTGGGAAGGGGCAGGGCAGCAGTGTGAGGGGAACCATGGGGGATTTGGCAGGGATGTGATGAGGTTCACTAGCTGCTGGGTGGAGGATGGACTCAGGAGGGCCAGGGTGAGGGTGGGAGCGAGTTTCATCCGAGTGATGGGCGGTTAGAGGAAGCACAAGCTGGAATCAAGACTGCTGGGAGAGATATCAATAACCTCAGATACGCAGATGACACCACTCTTATGGCAGAAAGTGAAGAAGAATTAAAGAGCCTCTTGATGAAAGTGAAAGAGGAGAGTGAAAAAGTTGGCTTAAAACTCAACATTCATAAAACTAAGATCATGGCATCTGTCCCATCACTTCATGGCAAATAGATGGGGAAACAGTGGCTGACTTTATTTTTGGGGGCTCCAAAATCACGGCAGATGGTGATTGCAGCCATGAAATTAAAAGATGCTTACTCCTTGGAAGGAAAGTTATGACCAACCTAGACAGCATATTAAAAAGCAGAGACATTACTTTGCCAACAAAGGTCCGTCTAGTCAAGGCTATGGTTTTTCCAGGGGTCATGTGTGGATGTGAGAGTTGGACTATAAAGAAAGCTGAGCGCTGAAGAATTGATGCTTTTGAACTGTGGTGTTGGAGAAGACTCTTGAGAGTCCCTTGCCTTGGACTGCAAGGAGATCAGTCCTTGCAGTCCTTTTTTGTTCATTGGAAGGACTGATGTTAAAGCTGAAACTCCAATACATTGGCCACCTGATGCAAAGAGCTGACTCGTTTGAAAAGACCCTGATGCTGGGAAAGATTGAGGGCAGGAGGAGAAGGGGACGACAGAGGATGAGATGGTTGGATGGCATCATCAACTAAATGGACATAAGTTTGGGTAGACTCCAGGAGTTGGTGATGGACAGGGAGGCCTGGTGTGCTGTGGTTCATGGGGTCGCAAAGAGTCAGACACGACTGAGTGATTGAACTGAACTGAACTGATGGGCAGTACCTTCTGTGAGGGTCGCACATGGCTCTCATGGCCTGTATCTCTAGAAGCACATAGTCCGGTCCCAAATATAAGAAGTGGAGAAGGAGCAAATAAAGGGCAGGGAAACTCCACAATTGGGGGCCACACAGCAGTCATTGGTCCATGGTGCACATGAATCCTGCTGGACGCAGGTGTGGAGATGCCACCCCTGGCAGAGGAATAAGAATTCTTTGGTTAGAGACTTCCCTGGTGGTCCAGTGGCTACGATGCCACCCTCCCAATGCAGGGGGCCCGGGTTCAATCCCTGCTTAGGGAACTAGATCCTGCATGCCACAACTAAGACCTAGCAGAGCCAAAGAAATAAATTAAAAAAAAAAAAAAGAATTCCTTGGTGAGTAACTGAGTAAATGATGACATTTACCCAGGTGAGGAAAACGGAAGAGTGAGATTGGAGTGGGGGTGTTCTGGGAAATCAGTTCTTGGGTCATGTCCAGCCTGAAACATGAGATGTCTGGGTGGCATATACTAGCAAGAAAGGAAGGGGGCCCTGTCCGCATGCCTCTGCCACCCCTTTCCCTGCCCATCTGTCACTTGGTAACTCAGTTCCTCCCAGACATTCACTTAATCTAACAGTTCATGGTCTTGTTTCTCTCCAGCCTCAGAAGGGTTGCTGGCACTCTTCTGTTCCAGAACTTCAGTTCCAAGCTTGGAAAAATAAAGTCCTTTCTGAAGAAGTAAATTTACAAGGGAATTCGTAGGCGAGAGGATTTTACCCTTGACCATTCTTGACCCTTGCCAGCTTCCAGGGGGCCTTCCTCTGCCCTGAAAACAAGGATGGAAAAGCCCACAGGCAAAAAAAAATAAGACCCGGACCCCAGAGGCAGAAGTGCACGTGCAGAAGAACACTGCCAAGGAAGAGAAGGCATCTGGGAAAGAACAGCCAAACCAGAGCCCCACTTTGGCCCAAAAGCACAGGAAGGAAGCCCGCCTCAGTCCTGAGAATGAGGAGCACATGTGTGAGGCCTTTGATGCTTCGTTTAAAGATGACTTTGAGGGAGTTCCATGTTCACTCGCTTCCAGAGGAAGAAGCCCTATGAATGCAGCGAATGCGGGTGCATCTTTAAGCACAAGACGGATCACGTTCGTCACCAGAGTCCACACTGGAGAGAAGCCCTTCTGGTGTGCCCAGTGCAGGAAGACTTTCAGGCACAGCTCTGACGTGACCAAGCACTGGAGGAGTCACACCGGAGAAAAGCCCTGTAAATGTAGTGAGTGCGGCAAAGCTTTTAACTGCAGTTCCAATCTCCTGAAACATCAGAAAACCCACACTGGAGAGAAGCCATATGGATGTAAGGAGTGTGGGAAGACCTTTGCCTACAGCTCATGTCTCATTCGCCATCGGAAACATCACCCACGGAAGAAGCAGACCCTTTGCCCACTGTGTCCCGAGTCCATCTTTGTGCAGCCTGGCAGGAGGCCTGTGTCCCTGGGCTGGACAGCAGTGCTTCTGCAGTGAGCACCGGGGACCCCACTGTCCACCCCCACCTCGGCTGGCTGTGCCGGCAGTGAGGTGCTTTGTCCTGGTGCCTTCCCTCCTCTGCTGGAGCACCATTCCTTGAATTTCGCTTCCATCCCCAGGAACTGGACTCCCTGTGTGTCTTCCCGGCTCAACCACCATCCCAGCTGAGCAGCCTGGCTTACCAGGTGGACCACTCAGGACACTAAATGCTGCCACCATGGGCACTTCCTGCCCTGGCCACGTCGGCTCCGGGATCTTGATGGCAGCTTGGATCCAGCTTTTGCCTGCATTGCAGCTTTTCAGACACAAGACAAGGCCAGCTCTCCGTTCAGGTGAGTTCCACTTCTCCAAGCCTGGCTCCCAAGTTCTGTCCCACATCCTGCACATCCATGTGTGTGCCTGCCCTTGTCTTCCCTCCAGGAGTGGTCTGGCTGGGCCTTCATGCTCTCCTGGGTGGGGGTGTGGCTTGCCCCAGAATTTTGGCACAGTATAAGAGGGATGAGGGGCCTGTCATCCAGGAAGTAATACAGCTTTTTATCAGTAAAATGTTGACACCTACATTTTCAGCTGTTTGGACCCAGAAAACTAATAATGACCCTGGTCTTAGGGCCTCCTCCATCAGAAGACAGGAGAGAGTACTCCCAGTGCAAACGTCTCTCCAGGTTAAGAGTGCTGTTCTTTCTAAAAGCTACAGCACTACAACAGCTCTGCCTGCACCAGGCACCTCCATCCCACAGCTCAGTGGGCCCTTCTCCTGTACCAGCAGCCCGGCCCCAGGTGTGGCCGGGCATAACCTGGCACTGTGATCCTGCTGGCACAGTCCCAGAACTAGAGATGTGATGAGGCAGAATTGTTCAAACAGGTGCCGGGGGGGCTGGCTTAGGGAAAACACACCTGGGATCCTGGTGGGAAAGGTTGCTGTAAGGGATGCTACTGGGACATTTGGCAAACCTTGGGTCTAGGCTGTCCACCAGTGGGGGAGGGGGGACATCAACATCCAAGCTCCCTGGTTTGATGGCCTGCAGCCATCTCAGACAATGTCCTTGTCATGAAGGATGTCCGCTGTGGTCTTCAGGGCCACAGAACAAGGTCACAGTGTCTGCAGTTTGCTCTCAAAGGGTGAGCAAAGAAGCAATAACAACAGTACACAGACACTGAGTGAGTGACAACGCAGGCTGGCAAACCTTCTGTTAGGGGATGGATCATAACTGTTCTTGGCTTTGTAGCCACAAGATCTCTGTCACAACTCAGCTTAGCCATGACATGCAACAGCAGTCAGACCACAGAAACAAACAAGCACAGCTCTGTGCCAGTAAAGCTTTATTTTACCGAAGCAGGTGGTGGGCCAGATTCTGCTGATTCTAGATGAAGGATATGTGGTATGTCCTGGGGGTTTGGCTTGTTTTTTATTAATTATGGTTTATAATATCCCATGATGAGTATATTGTTACATATAAAATATTGTTGTATATAAAATATTGTTATATAACACACATTACTACCATAGATGGAAATATATCACATGTACTGTAGAAAAATTATCACTCTCTGTGTTAGTGTGTCTCCCATATTATTACAAATAGGAAGCACTTTTTGTGGCTACCTAATGATCCGTCGTAAAGGAGATCAGTCCTGCGTGTTGATTGGAAGGACTGATGCTGAAGCTGAAACTCCAGTACTTTGGCCACCTCATGTGAAGAGTTGACTCGTTGGAAAAGACCCTAATGTTGGGAGGGATTGGGGGCAGGAGGAGAAGGGGATGACAGAGGATGAGATGGCTGGATGGCATCACCAACTTGATGGGCATGAGCTTGAGTAACTCCGGGAGTTTGTGATGGACAGGGAGGCCTGGTGTGCTGCGATTCATGGGGTCGCAAAGAGTCGGACACGACTGAGCAACTGAACTGCCTGACTGACTGAATGATCCGTTAAATAAAAAGCCGACTTAACCATTTCCTAACGTGTAGGCTGTTTCTAGTTTAGGTCACTATGAACAATGCAGGAAATATCTTTTCCACATTTAGGGCCAATGATGGGTTGCCAGAAACAGACTGACGGATGGAGATCTTGCTGGCAAATACTTTCCTCCGGGTTGTGGCCCAAAGATGCTCCAGCAGCTCATAGACAGCAGGTGAGTTTTAATCTCACCAGTTTGTTAGAAGAGAAGAAACACTCTAATCTGATGTCTTTGATTTCCAGAAAGGAAGCGGGTGCAAAGAGCATAGTCCCTCGAGCCGGGGTCACCGACTCACCCTCATGCCTGGAGATGTGGGGCCTCGGCCGGTTCTCACCTCCTTGTGCCTCCAGTTCCCCAGACATCGGAGCATTGACGGTGCTCAGCCTGGTCACTGCCTGTGTGTGACCTCAGTGCCACGCTGACCCCCAGTTTAGCCTCTGTCAGCTCTGGTCACGTGTTAGTGTCCCTAGTGGGGGGACATTGGCCCAGAGGCATGAGAGGTGGCCATGCAAGCAGACAGCCTTCAGTGCCTCTCCCAGGAAAACAAGAGAGGCATGAGAAAACAATCACGCAGCCCCTATAATCAGCCACCGGCTCTTCTGCCGCCTGGTGTTTGGTACAAACTGATGGTCTCATTTCTCATTTCTTCTGAATTAACCATTGCGACACCACACCACCTCCAAGCACTGAACCCTACATCCTTCAGATATAAATCTATTTTGATGGTTTTGTTGGCTATTGCTCTTCAAATGAAACTCAAATTCCAGAAAAAGAAAACCTTCTAAGTAACCTGAGCCAAAGAAAAAACCATAATGAAAGTTATAAAATACTTAAACCTGAATGATAATGAAAATACAGCTTGCCGGAACCCATGCATCTGTGGTCAGTTAATCTACAACAAAGGAGGAAAACTGTACCATGAAGAAAAGACAGTCTCTTCAGTAAGTGGTGCTGGGAAAACTGGCCTGCCACATGGAAATCAATGAAGTTAGAACATTCTCTAACACCATACACAAAAATAAACTCAAAATGGATAAAAGACTTAATGTAAGACCAGATAGTATAAACCCCTTAGAGGAAAACAGGCAGAACACTTTTTGACATAAACTTGCAACAATATCTTTTTGGATCCACCTCCTAGAGTAATAAAAATAAAAACAAAGCTAAACAGATGGGACCTAATCAAACAAAAGTTCTTGCACAAAGAAAGGAAACCATAAAACAAAAACACAAGCTACAGAATAGGAGAAAATATTTGCAAATGATTCAACTGACAAGGAATTAATGTCCAAAATATACCGACAGCTCATGTAGCTCAGTATCAAAAAAACAACCCAGTCAAAAAATGGCAGATCTAAATAGACGTTTCTCCAAAGAAGACATACAGATGGCTAACAAACATATGAAAAGATGCTCAACATCAGTAATTATTAGAGAAATGCAAATTAAAACTACAGTGAGGTATCACCTCACACTGCGTCAGAATGGCCATCATCAGAAAGTGCAAATAATAAATGCTGGAGAGGGTGTGAAGGAAAGAGAACCTTCCTACACTGTTAGTCGGAATGGAAACTGGTGTAGCCACTGTGGAGGACAGCATGGAGGTTCCTTAAAAAATTAAAAATAGAGATACCATATGATCCAGCAACCCCACTCCTGGGCATATATCCGGAGAAAACCATAATTCACTGAACAGAGGAATGGATAAGAAGCTGTGGCCCATTCACACAACAAAATACTATTCATCCATAGAAATAACTGAGTACCACCACCCTCTACAACACGGATGATGCTTAGGGTAAGAGCCAGGCACGGAAGGACAAACACTGTATGACCCCACTTACATGAGTCCCATCTCGCTGTGTGTGTTCATATAGATCAATTGCCCTGCAATGGGCACATGTGTAGGAAGTAGTTACCAGGTGGGAGAAGGACTTTGAGGGTTTGACATGTACCGTTTCTGTTAGGTAGGGGTGACAGGCACACAGCACTGGGAATATTTAATGCCACTGAATTACTTACAGTTGGTTAAAATAATAAATATATATTGTTTTATCACAACAAAAAAAGTCTGTTGAATTTGATATGCTAGTAACAAAATGCAACTTTCTAAAGCTGTCATCCATTTTAGCAACAAAAATGGCATTTTCTGGCAAGTTGAAGATGTGCTTACCTGCTGACCCAGAAACATCACTTGCTGACACGCCGTAGAGGAACTCTGGAACATGGGCCTAAAGAGACATCTACAGCAGTATTTACGCTGAAGTGGGTCAACAGGCATCAATGTCTGCGGGTCTCAGACACAGCACTGCACAGACGGGAGGACATGCAGTACAATTTCAGTTATGACTTTGTGCAAAGCCGAGAAAACAGCATGTCACTCGGGTGATATGGGGAGGAACAAGAGCAGCTCCCCAGCAGGCAGGGCTCGGCACCTGGTGGCCTCTGCTTCCTGAAGTGGGTGCGAGCCGGGCGGCTGTGGTCCACCCCCATAGTTTCATCATAGTACATACACCCTATCAAACAGTAGGTTGTTTCCGCACAATCCTGTTGCCAACCAGGGTGGGGTCCCCCACGCTCCAGAGCAGCATGGTCCTGTGACACCTTCCAAAGCTGAAACGGCGGAAAGCAAAGAGGCAGCTACCTCGTTAGAACACATCTCATTCAGGGTGCACAAGACAAATCAAGATGACGCCCCGAGACACGGTTAGCAGCCCTCATGCCTTGGTGCTGAGCCTGGATCCGAAGGAAGGAGCTTGGCGTGGCCGCTCTTAGCTAGTGGCTGATTATAGACTGGCTGCGTGATTGTTTTCTCAGGTCTCTCTTGTTTTCCTGGGAGAGGCACTGAAGGCTGTCTGCTTGCACGGCCACCTCTCATGC